AACCCAAGGAGGGGTCACTATGAGTCGGATCCAACTTGACGGCATATAACAACAACAACATTACCCTGGGCAAAGTTGCTGCAAAACACCTCTTTAAAGTGCTGAAGAGCAAAGATGTCTCCTTGGAGATTAAGATGCACCTAACCCAAGCCATGGTATTGTCAATTCAATTGCCTCATACGCATGTACAAGCTGGGCAATGAATACGAAAGACTGAAGAAGAGTTGATGCTTTTGAGATGTGGTGTTGATAAAGAATACTTAAAATACCATAGACTTCAGAAGAAAGAACAAATCTGCCCTGGAAGAAGTGCAGCCGGAATACTGCTTGGAGGTGAGAATAGCCAGACTTTGTTTCACCTGCTTTGATCATGTTGTTGGAAGGGACCATTCCCTGGACAAGGATATCATACTTGGTAAAGTGGAGGGTAAGCAAAAAAAGGGAAGACCCTTAATGATATGGATTAACACTGTGGCTTCAGCAATGGGCTCAGGCATAGCAAAGCTTGTGACACTGGGGAATGACTGGGGCAGTATTTTGTTCTGTTTTACAGGTGGTTGCTTGAGTTGGGGCAGACTTAACACCTAACAACAAAACAACAAATTAAAGTAACCGTGATATTAGCAGCAAGATAAATAAATAAAATAACAATTACAATTGCCACTTCTGAGCACCTACGATATATCATACCCTATAAAGTGACCAGTTTTTTACATATGTTCTTTCTTGCTCAAGGCATCGCTAGTTGAATTGAGTAGGTATTATGATCTCGTGTTTGAACGTTACTCTTTTTCAGGAGATGGAGTCAATACTCGTGGCATTTGCTGCCCTAAAAGAGCACAAGTCTTCAGACAGCACATTCTTGGTGTTCATGTCTCATGGCCTCCTGGATAAAATCTGTGGTATTAAGCACACTAATGACAAACCTGATGTACTGCTTTACGACACCATTTTCCAGATTTTCAACAATCTCAAATGCCCTCATCTGAGAGACAAACCTAAGGTCATCATCATCCAGGCCTGTAGAGGTGGTAAGTACCAATGGTAGTTCAGAAGTGAGGGAAGTGCCTGTGATGAAGCTAAGGTAGTGCTGTTTGTTTTATATCTAGTGAACATGCCCTTCAACCTCATTGTAGTGCAATTATACCAGATCGATCTCTTTGGAAAAAGCACATAGGTGTTGTTGTTAGGAGCTGATGACTCAGTTCCAAATCACAGAAACCTCATTACGTACACCAGAATGAAACATTGTCTGGTCCTAAACTATACTCACAATAGCTGCAAGGCTAGAGTCCATCATCACAGCCACTGTTGTCAGTTCATCTCATTGAGAGTCTCCCCCTTTTCCACTGACCCTTTGCTTTACTGAGCATGTTATCTTCTCCAGGGACTTGTCCCTTTTGACAACATGACCAAAATATGTGAGACGAAGTTTGGCCATTCTCACTCTAAGCAGCAGTCCAGATGTATTTCTTCAAAGACAGATTTATTTGTTCTGGTAGTCTATGGTACATTCAATGTTCTTAGCTAACAACACAATTCCAATGTATCAATTATTCAGTCTTCCTGAGTCACTGTC